AGAACAGGACAAAGGAGAAGACAGTTTTCATTCAGAAGCTTCTTCTAGATGAAAGTTTGGACCCAAATACAAAGTCACGAAATCGGATGGTCACTGAGAACTTTCACCAAAACAACGCACTAAAAGCCCTCTGCACTTTAGACACGGGAGAATCAATGGATGATTTACAGTCCAAAATCGTGAGACAAATTGTTTGCTATATTGCTGAATACGATATTCAGTGTCACTCGATCAAGTTCAGTTACCTATGAACTGGAAGGGTGCAATTCATAAGACAGGATTAAGACAGCTTCCATCAAATTACAAACTCATCAGCCTCACCAGTATCTTGGTTAAAATACTGGACAGAATATCAAAAAGTCATGAATGATATTCTTGGAAACAAATAACTTGCTAATCAGTGGATATTATGGTTTCAGAAAAAGGTTGTTTTGTAAAATAAACCGCCATATATTAAAAAAAATTGACAGGGTGGAAAATCGGTGAGTGCTGACTGTGTAGACCGTGGAAAATATTTGATAAGATGCCGGATAATAGACTCCTCTTGAGACTGGAAAATCTGGCAATTGACGGACCTCTCCTGCAGCAAATTAATTATTTCGTTTTAGGTCGTGGTCAGAAAATAAGAGTAAATTCCAGTTGCTCCTAGTGGATAGTAGTAATATGTGAAGTACCATAAAGCTCTCTTCTAGGTTCTTTACTGTACGCAGATAAATTCCCAAGCATATTTCAGTCCTTAATACCATATTACATTGATGGTGAAAAAATTTGGTGAGCGATAAGGATGGGTCCTAGATGCATTTACATGTCACGCGTACTTATATGTTCTGGTTAGCTGATCCAGTATACATAACCCTTACTTGCTCGTGCCTGTTAACCCCTGAGGAGGAACATAGGTCGCCGAGCAGTATTCTTTATCAAGCTTTGTCCAGAACAATCCTTCCCGATTGTTCCCACTTACTATTCAACCTTTCGACGTCTACTCCCGATTCTCGACGCAATGGGTTCCTTGGTCATCTTTTCCGTTTTCCTTCTGGATTCCAAGTTAGCGCCTGTTTTATAATGCAGTTTGATGACTTCCTCAATATATGTTCTTCCCATTTCTAACGTCGTTTGGCAATTTCCTATTCACTTAGAAGCTGGTTTACTTTCTCCCGCAGTAGGTTGTTGGTGATGGTTTCGGTCACCGGACATTGTGTATCTTGTGTAGACAGCTGCATACAAATACTTGTTCTTTCCTGGTGATCGTTGTAGTAGTTCTCAATGTTTCAGCTTCGTACCATAGGACTGTTCTGATGTATGTATTGGTGATTCTGACATTGATGTTAGTTGACAGTTGTTTTGAGTTCCATATGTTCTTCAACCGTGAAAATAATCTACTTATACTTGCCTTTACGTCAGCATTGGATCCTCCTTGTTCATCGATGATACTGACCAGGTATGTGAAGGTTTCCACAGCTTACGGAGCTTCTCTGCCGGTCGCTCTTCCAGGGTTGCTGCTGGTCCCAATCGAAAGTGAAGGGGAAGGGTTGGACATGGTGTCGATAACTATATCTCCTAAAAAATTGGATTGGTGAACAAACACTCACCAGAATAAACTATTTGAAATATTTAAAATCTGCCCTCTGGGTTGAAGAATTTTTATTCAGAAGAATTACGATGCCACACGGTCAAAGTCGAGATTCTTCGGAGGTCATGAGACCCAAGCTCTTTCTAACAAACAAAGTAACATTCGATATAGCTGCATGGGATGCCTGGATGATGACAATACGCATCTGTAGTGAGATAAAAACCTGGAAGCTCCGTCCAGGCTGCAAGCTCCTGTTCAAAGTGACTCAAATACCATGAAAAAGATACAGAGGGTCGTTACTTGTGTAATTCCGGTGTTAACCTTACACAGAGAGGCCTGAGAAGCTAGATCTTTTTTCCATGCCCTACCGCAGATTAGGTCATCTGATTTTGATATACAGAATAGCAAGGAGTGATTACGAGCCCCATATGTCCCCTCGTTTTCTTCTTACCAGATCAAAATAACTGAGAGGACATAGCACAGGGACAGAAAGGTCAATTACAAAACGATATACGTGGCATACAGACTTTCACATTGGGTCATCAATCCTTGAAACTTGTTACACGGTGAAGTGTTGACCCCCTCTACGATTAAAGACCAGACATTCACAGAAGCTTACGAGAGAAGAACGAATACATGACTTAGGTCTTCATACCTCAATACACAAGTCTGAATCGAAAATCAAACCCGAATCTGTTGGCGGAAAAGTGGCATATCAGCCACATAAAATATTCCACATGCCAGTCCTTTTTGCTATCGCAGGGGCCAAATGTTAAGTTGTTAAAGTCCGGTTTATGACCCGATGTTTCGGATATCATCTTTATGCACAATTATCAAAATATGGAGGGAAGAATGAACAGGTCGAGAAGTAGTTTACATATGTGCCACGTATGTGAATTTACGCGTATAAAACAAACTATTGGTCTACTGTGCTAATAAACAGTGACATTTTCGTAAAATTGTGTTGATGCTTAGCATTAAAAACTAGAGCTTTCTCCCGGGATAGATTAAGAAACAGCATTATCAATGGGTCTTACAGAATTGAATGCATGATCAACCGGTATGGATCTTGAAGACACGCTGTTTTCAAGTACTCTGAAATAATTTCATGTTCATTGTTCTCGTCTTGGTTGTGTGACGAGGTTTCAGTTACGTCTGGTGAGTTGCGGTACGAAGTCAACGACTGCTTTCATGAATTAATGGTGTGATGTTAGCTCTGATGATCTGTATGGATGTCGTTCCTAAAAATGGTATTGCACCATGCTGATCAAATGCGAAGCATGGTGGACGAAAATACTGAGACTGTTGAATGGTAGTACTGACGGTCAATACTGCAGTAGGGTCTTCGAAAATTTGAAAGACTCTGTGCCCGTAAAATTGCGAAAAACATACTTATAAAATGAGGCAGCCATGTACTTTTAGTATGGGAGTCAGGTTTTCATATTTATTCATTGAGATTTATTTTACAAAACCCTGTGAAGTGCGCCAGAATGTAAGAAACGTATTGTGTTCATTAAAAATACGTCCTAAAATGACGAGATTAGGTAAATAATCACTCATTGGCTATGGAATTTGCGAATTTATACAAAACATATACTGTACTTATCACTCAATATTAGGAGGACACATTAAACCAGTAACACTGCTTTGCGAAGAACGCTATGAATGTCGACTAGTGTGACAACGCAAGTTCTACAAGTACTTTTATCTCTCCCTGACCACAACTTAATTTCATGTTATCGTTTACGCTACCAACAACATGGCAGAAGAGGAAGAACACTATTTCAGACGAAAGTCAAGCGCAAAAGTGGGGAATCGAAAGAATCCGTCACGAAATAACTAATGATTCCATGATGAACGCCTATTTAAAAAATCGGTGTGATAAAAGATGAAGTAAACTGTCATGACCTAGCTCCTACTGATACGTATAGATCAAGTTAAATAGGCGATACACCACAAGGACAATAAGACTACTACTCTAGGCTTGAGGGTTGACCCAACACCGTCCGAATGCAAACGAAAAGAAGGAAAGTAAGACCTATGGTCACTTATCCATGGTCTTTATTATAATTCAAGCAGATTAGATATAAACATACCATACTGCATCGCACTATAAAGTAAAAATGACAGTTCTACGTGATCAAGCCAAAAAGTGGCTGAATGGAGAGAAGACCGTAAATAATAGATTGGTAATAAACTAAGAACATTAGATCGTATAACTTTGGTAATCAAGCAATAGAAAGCCTTTCGTGCCTGAAATTAACCCTTGTCCTATTGATAAAAGAAGCCAACCTAGTAGTGAATAGGTGTTTATTTAGATCGTGGTACAGTCACAGTGGAGCGGTAGGTTGCCTGTCCATACACACAACACTTTCCAAAATTAATATAAGATAATAGGAATATAATGCCTATACGAAATAAGGAAGTGAATGAATCCTTGAGCTCTATTGTTTTGACATAATTAGTTGCTCGAGGTCAACTCTTAACTAATAAACCTAAGTTGTTACAAGCCTATGATAAACGAAATATATATAAAGATGCCATACGTGTTCGGAGTTTGACAACACCTCTACACCTAGCACCTTTATAATCATAGTATACTAACTCAGTCAAATTATAAGTCAGTGATGAAGGCGGGGTTCAAAGACATATTAAGAAAGCTATCGGTATATCGAGGATCGTTTAATCTAAGCTGGCTGACGATTGTAAGCGATGTGTAGCATGGTATACCCACTCGTGATCTGGTGCGAATGCGTAACCAAGCGCCTTCAGTTAGATGTGTCCAGCAATAATAATGCGGCCAGTATCAAGTGTCTAAGAAAAACGGAACAATTTATTTTGGGGATTTATTTACCACTACACCTCCCTCTTCTCAAAAGCATAAGGATATATTGGGACAAGTTCAACGCGAGTCACTAAATCAGTTCTAAGGCTCAAATTCAAGCCGTATGAAGGACACCTCAAATCACTGAAAATTTACCCATCAGAATATAGGCGTTTTAAAGGTGACCTTTTAATGAAGTACAGCATCCTCAACACTTTCGTACATCCCAATAAATACCTACTTAATCTAAGTGCCAACACAAACCTTGGGGCAACGTTCAGAAACCAGAGCCACAACATGGCAGAACGGACTGCAGGCACATCTTCTACTCCCTAAGAGTAGTCGGATGCCGAAATTTGCTGCTAGCTGAACTAGTTCAAGCGACTTCGCAGGAGTCCTTTAAGAGAAAACTTGACATATTCTCCAGGACTGAGGGCAGTATCTCTATTGTTTACAAATATCTTTATAGTTACCTTTATAGTTAGAAATACCTAGGTTCTATCCTGGCAGCATCTGTGGTCCACTGTTTCTAAAAACGGAAACCCGTTAAGCGAAAGCTTTTTCTATTATTTTTAGAGTCATTTGAACACTTTAAAAGCGCCCTATATGAGCTTGCGCTACCATGTGGAGCTAACATTTGCTAAGTAAAGTCTTTGTTTGTATTTGATTACGAGTAGTTGAAGGAATTAGGTCATCCCTTGGTGACGTGTTACTGTCCATTGTTTCGTTATAGTCTCTAGGATTTCCCAATGTTCCAGGATAATGTAGAATACTACGAAACTGCCTTACATGTAAGGCAGTTACAGTTGCAACTATAACTAAGAGCTGTTGATCCTCAGCTACGTAATTAAAACAATATTTTCTGTCCCTATGTCTATTTTCAACCTATGAATTATACACCACATATTTTATTTTGACTGTAGGACTGGGTAAAAAACCGACAGTCGGTCTGTTTATAACATAGTGCCGTGATATGACGGCTCTCCTTGTCTTGGATCTATTCTCTCACCATAAATTCTTCGTTGAGTCCCTAAAAATCATGTAGCTTAATAGTTTTAAGCATTGTCAGGGACAGGTCAAAAAGATCCATAGCAAACCGTGGGTTGCTTTTGAACCTATTTAATATATCTATTTTTCCAACCAAGATACATATCCTAATCGCGTAGTTTTTGAAACTAAACTGTACTATTTTTTGGATGCTAGTTTTGTTCATTCATTACTCGGACTTTTCTGTCTTCTCATAACATTACCACTCTACATTGTACTTACATTTTTTCGGCATATTTGTATCAAAATGTTTATGTTCTGAAAGAAGTGTTTCAGTTATTGAGCAAAAATCCCACTTGTTTAAACACTAGTTTCGTCTCACTATATTTTCTATATACAAAATCTATTTTGCCGCTTTTTTACTGAGCAATGGAAGTAGTTTGAAAGTAGTCTTAGTTTTTATTGGTATTCAACTTTTCTGACCACAGCAATTTTTATCGTTTTATTTTATGCCTTCGAGTGTTATGCAGTCTACTAAAGTTAGATGTATACATTGATAAGATTTCATCCTTTACCCTAATTACAGATTATACCTTTTCTCCATAAATGAAACTTGTCAATTTGAAGACCATTCCATTGGTAAGCATCGCAAACGTTTTGCATAGTCAGTAAAGTATGATGACAAAGAAGAAAAGTAGTTCATCGGTTATCCTTGAACTGAAAGAATTAGTTGATCATATCAATAACACTATTCCTGCTGTCCCAGGAAAACAACGTCTAGTTAGAATGTGTCAAAAGAGACGACTCATTTTGAGTCGGTAAGTCCTTTTGTTGTTATTTTTAATACATATCCCGTAGTAATATCATGAACAGGGGTGATGTGTCATTAATTTACACTTGATGTCGCCTCTTTCCTATTTACTTGGTTCTTTAATGAGATTTTCGCAGTTGCGAAACCTTAGCTATGACAGATATCCCTGTCTTCTTGCATCCTCCGATCAGGCTGAAATCAAAACACTCAAGTAATTCCATTTTCAATCAATCGGACCTATTAGAATCACCATGATGTTAGGATATTCGTATGTTAATTCTATTAAAACCAAGAGAATTTAGGGGAATACAATTTTATTTTCAACAAAATCACTGGCATTTATATTTCGGTAATAAATATACAATTAGCAGATGCAGCTGCTGCTTTCAAATCATTGGCATGCTCCGAGCACCAGGATTCTCGGTCCTTACACAAACTTTGTCCAACTTCATTGCGTAAGTCTTCGTTTGTAGTCAAACTCGCGGTCACCCGGCGTAAAACGATGGGCTCTAATCAGTTGTAAGGAGCCTGAGGAAACCCAGTGCTTATAAGCGGGACGTTTCGCGAGGCTACAAACGACTCTACCCGCCACTTTCATGGAATCATGCAACTGCAACCAATGCTCGTCTACACTTTCTGATGGGATGGTAGCTAACCTTGAACTTAGCTCTGCTTGATATTTAGTTGCAACAGAAGCTGCAACCAATTTGTTGACACCCATCGGTTTAGGATGATGAGTTTGTTGGCCACTGGAACGTAAGGTGGGATTAGCACAAACAAGGGCATGATCAGAGTTCAGATAGGTACTCCAAAAGGAGCGACAGTCTTGTACACAACCAGTCAGTCAGTCAGTCAGTAACAACGTAGAACTTCGTACACATGTACATCAGTTCGAGTTGCCACACCACATTAGCACAGAGATGCAGTTGTCGACTCAAATCCCGCGGTGGTAGAGGTAGCAAGAGTATAAGCAGTAATCGGGAAGATTAGGGTTTGGAGATGTTATTTAAAGAGTATAATCCAGTGAAATAAATTTGGAAAGAGGAAAAAAGGGACATGAAGGATTCAGAAGATTAGAATTTGGGAGAACACAGAGAGTGGATGCACCTGCGCCATTGCAAACGATTTTGAGCCATGTCATTCAGGGTCTCTAACCATCGGTTGCTATCATCTCGCGGTCCCCAACCAGGTAGTCTACACCTACCAACATGACTCAGTTGACTTGTCAGTGACTTCATGGACTTGTGCCATGTTTTGGTTTGGCCGCCCCTAGCTTTCTTCCAACCTACTCCTATACCACTGAACATAGCACGTCGAGGCAGTCGGCCGTTGGGCATACGTAACACGTGTCCCAACCATCTCAACTGATGAAGTTTCACTACTTCATCAATTGATTTGCCATCCTTACCTAGTACCCGTTTCCTAACAACTGCATTACTTACTCGATGGTCCCACGATATACGAGCAATATTTCGAAGACACCTATGATCAAATACTAGTAACCTACGAATATCCTCTACTCTTACCGGCCATGTTTCACTGCCATAAAGTAGGACGGAACGAACTGCTGCGCAGTAAACCCGTCCTTTGGTTGATAGACGGATATCTCGCCTACGCCATAAATGACGCAAGTTGGCGAAAGCTAGTCGAGCCTTCTGTATCCGTGCTGAGATTTCGTCACACACTAAACCACAAGGGCTGATGAGACTTCCAAGATAAGTGAAGCGGTCGACACACTCAACTACCTCACTCCCTATCACTAGTTCGGGTGTCGATGTAACCCAATCCTGAAGCAACATTTTGCATTTCGAGGGAGAGAATCGCATCCCGAACATGCTTGCATTGTTGCTTAGAGTGGTCAGAAGACTCTGCATTTTGTCAGCGTCTTCACCAAATAAAACTATGTCATCAGCATATTCTAAGTCAACAAGTGAACCTCCCGGTAGAAGTTCAACCCCTGGAAATTTAGATGAGGAGAGTGTTATCTCTAAAAGTACGTCGACCACAAAGTTGAACAAGAATGGGGAGAGTGGACAGCCCTGACGAACACCACTTGAAGTAGCTGACCGCGATATGATCAACCTGAGTTCAGGCTTTAGATGCAGAGGGATGACTCCCGGTGGCACATCGGCGATGACTGTGTTGGTAGCTAGTGCTAGCCAGAAACAGGTTGTAGTTTGCGCACAGTTGCAGTGGACCTGTGACCAACAACCCCCATCGGCTACCTAAACGACTCTCCTGTGCCTAGACGCCCGACCTGAGCATTCAATCCTCCAGTTAGTACTACATTATCCGTCGAACGCATTTTCTGTAGAAGGACTGGTAACTGGTGGCAAAGCTCATTCTTGATCGCATCCGGGCTGTAATCTGTCAGAGCACGGGTGTAGATGACAAGAAGACATCGTTTCTCACAACGATTTCTCCGCACTTTGATGGAATTTTCTAACCATACAGCACATAACCGACTGTTAATAGGGACTCAGTCGATCAGTGCTGCCTCAGCATTAGCGCTTGGTGAGCCACCAGTAAAACCAGACGAAGACGCCACAGGATCCCCGGATAAACGCACACGAAACAAGCTTTTAGAAGCGACAGATGGAATGAGAATTCGTAGTACATCACCAGATTTTTGACTACGGGTCTCGGATAGACAACAGACGTCGATAATAAGACTTCCTAAAGACATAGATAACCCTATCTATTGTGTGATCTGCATTAGTGTGCGAATGTTGAAGGAAGCCAGTTTGAATGGTATACGTGGTTTCAGGAAGACTCAGTATTCGTATTCGGTGGTAGCATTCAACTTTCAACCAGTCAGTGACTCGGGACCGCTTAAATAGGACAGGGCTTCCACCATAGGCGAGCTGCTGTATAAGTTGAAAAATAAGAATACAATGAGAATAGAAGAAAGTAGACAAGTGATGTAGTATATAAAATAAAAATAAATGTGATATGTCTGAATGTTAATTGAAGCAAGAATAATATTTCCAGTAGTAATTGTCATTTGATTTGTGTGTGGGTTGTGATACTGCCTGGGTGCCCAAACCGAAACAGATGGTTTTCTTAGGGGGACACCTAGAATCTCCGACTTAAAGGTCTGATCCATAAGGCCTTAGAGCAACGTTAGGAGATGCAATCTCATGGTATCTGGTGATCAACAATAGGTCCATACGCCATTTGTTCCCTCAACATCCTGGAGACTATGTGCCCCATTGCTTTGTAACCAGGGTTTTCCAACTCTCCTAGGTGGACCCTCCGTGTCCACCAGCCCGGTTAAAGCGTCTGACATTCGCCTTTCGTCCTCTCTCTTTCGTAAAAAACTCCCTCACCGCGAGAAGGCAGTGATTATGACTACCCTGACGGTGACTGTATACACGTGGCCATGTGAGTGTATTTCGAGAGGGAGAGCGGACTCTCCTCACCCTTGGCCTTGCCAGGGCATGTGGGAGCATAACTCACGGAACTTGGCTCTTAAACTATTATCGAGTTTGACACGAGTGAAAAGAATATGTCACACATATGTAACATATATTTCATGTTCGTCAAATGTTAGTTGGGACTTCAGTATTGATTTATGCTAATATTCAGTCTAATAATAGTGAGTAATTATTAGTTCTCTCCACTCATTTGGAGATTTATATCGTTCTGGATGGATTGTTAATCATCTACTTTTCTGAAATCAGTCAAAAAGGAAACAATTGTCAGTAAGGAATGTTTTCGCTCTCGCTAATGATTCTATTAAAATCATACCTTTTGAACTGCCCCCAAATGCCCTGGTACGGCCAAGAGTGGGGAGAGTCCGCTCTCCCTCTCGAAATGCTCTCACATGGCCACGCGTATATAGCCTCTGCCAGGGAAATCCTACTCACTGCCTTCTCGTGGCGGGGGTGTTGTTTACAAAAATGAGAGGACGAAAAGCGAATGTCCGGCGCTTTAACCGGATTCCAAACCAACAGTGCACATGGGCTCCAGTATCCTGAAGGAACAAGTGGCGTATGAACCAATTGTTGGTCACCGGCTACCATGAGACTGCATCTCCTTACGATGCCCCACTGCCTTGTGGATCAGACCTTCAGGTCGAAGGCTCGGGGTGTGGCCCCCTAAGAAAACCACCTGCTTCGGTTTGGGCACCCGGGCAGTAGCACAGCCTTCACACATCGAATGAGATTTGTGTGGCGCATATGTATTTGGCGCCTCCCTGTATCAATATCTATGTGTTAAAATAAATAAATAAATACCTTTTGAACAACATAGTGGTTATCTGAACTCAATTATGCTGTGAATAAGGGGTTAGGTGTTAAAGAGAAAGTTACTGTATTCGACACTGTGGTGCAGGTGTATTCAGTTGAAAAATCCTATATAGGATAGAACAGTCGTTTTAGTTCTCACTACTAATCATAATCTGTATTTTGATAAAAAAAAATGATGGTTTTACGTATTTCTTACGTGTTACCAAATCTTATAGATTGACTAGTTCTTGTAATGTACGTTTACATGACTTGTAAATTATTCTCATAACATTTGTAATCTGTACGTACTTGGATATTTTTTACTGTTTGTCCGTTTTACTAAAATTAAATCTCCAAAAATCTGTTTATATTAGTTGCCGTCTGACTTAGCCGACGATTCAGCTGTTTGTTCCAATTTGCCATATTTCAAAGCGATAACCACAATCGCCAATTCTTATGGTAATCGTCTTGTGGATTTATTATGTCGTTATCGTCTACCGTTGGAATCAACTGTCAACAGTAGTATTCATGTACAGCAGTTTGATGATGATGATGATGATGATAATCACAATAATGTTGTCAGTTCTCTTAATGCGATTCATTCAAATAGTAATGATTATTTATTACGATGCGATAAACAAGGTGAAATTATTATCGTCAATCTTTTCTTTTGGTATTATATACTTGATTTTATTGTTCAGAACGATATAGAATTGTAACGATAGCAGTTTTCCATTGACTTCTTTCTTGTTTCACCTTAATATACATGATTGTGTAATAAAGAAATAGATTTGCAGCTCAAATAAACCAGTCATACTCAACGTAGGACTCTGGGATGTATGTGTATTGGTTCAATCTGACACATTCCCTTAGTATAGTGAGATGAAATTACTAAGTCACCTATCAGCGTAGTAGATATAGTAACAATATCAATGGTAGTAGAAAAAGAAGATATGGTTGGAGAAGTAAATATGAATGTCTAAAAAGGTTTCATATGGTAATTAAAAATTTTGGAATTTAAGAGAGGACAACTAGTGGATTCATCTGGGTCATTGTGGACGATTCTAAGCTATGCGATCAAAGGTCTCTAACCACTGGTTGCAACAATCATGCGACCTCCTACCAAATGATATTCGCCGACCTACATGGCTCTGTCCAATTGTTTATAACTTTACATATATATATATATATATATATATATAATTGTTCCATAAATGGATCCCAACAGTCACCATTCATTATTCTCTTCGGCATATAAGAATTTTGATATAGGAAATGTACTCACTTCTTTGTATGATGTCATACATGCATATCTCTGAGTTGTCTCATACTAGGTTGAAACAGCTGTTTAATAGTTGTGAACAACTGGTAGGATCTTTTATCATGTCTTTTCTGATCTGGAAAAAGATAAAATTATAATGAATGTTTTTTGACTGCAAATAATAAGGATTGTCGGCTTAAATTTTGTAGCTTGCCCAGGATGTAAGCAAAGTAATCTAATCCTGTTGGAAAAATGTGGAAAAATACTATTAATGGCCCTGAATGTTTCAGTCCTATCTATCATATGGTCACTATCGACAAAATGTGATAAAATAAATTTGAGTATACCTATAGTCTTAAGGGAGCTGACGCTTTCTGGTAGATCTGATCTTGTACCATCCGCCTTCATAGCCTGAGGTGTTGCCAGTGAACCATTCTTGTTGTATCTGATCTTCTGTAGGGCTTCCAGTCGATTACTCCCAATAATCTAACGTCGAAACAGTGTACGCGATGTTGGATTATTTAGACTAGTGGCCACTTTGTAGCGTGATCGATATAATTCGATCAACATCAAGAAGGACTAGAGAAACTTGACATTTGTCACAATAGGGATTACTGGCTAACTCTGGCTTATATATCTAGAATACACCAGATATAGTTATTTTCACAGGAACAACTGGACCGGTAATTTGGTAAAGCTAGATAGCTTAACTTTTATCTCAGCAGGCACTATCGGTTAACCAGAAAGTGGCAATCGGAATGACTGATTTCGTAAAGTATTGCTTTTACGATGACTTATCTATCGCATAGGATATCGATGTGTTTATTTTCGTTGTCCTAATTCCACACAGTGGAGATTTTCAACATTCGTGCGTACCTATTAAAGTGAATTTAATTCGAGTATTTATTCAGGTAACTACATATTGATGTTCTTTAAAAGGGGAGTATACCGTGTGGCAATTTATCCAGCTGGGGAATAGTTTTTATATAAGGTTAAAAATATACTTCGGTTGTATGTATTGAGTTATGCCTGTTTGTAAGATTGCTTTTAACGTATGGTTCACAGTATTTCTCTCTTTCGATATATTACGATCATAAGTAAATACCATGACGAGGCTAGTCACGTTCTGACGGTATCACATTGGATGTCATTTGTCCTCACCTTGGATTTATTTCTAGTGAAATCCCTAGTGAATGTGACAAGTATGTTCTAAATGCGTCAAATTCTAGCCACATTTCTGATGTGATTGTATCAGATGTTGAATATTCTCACAACTATGTATGTCGGGTAGAATCCCCAGTCGATGGCATGATGAACCAAAAGGCATACCACGTCTGTCCAAAGCAATCAGAGAACCAGTTTGTCGAGATGTAAATTTTTCACAGGCAGAAAATTTGAACTGAGTCCAAAATTTTCCCAATGAGTATGAAACAAATGCATATTTTTCATTTGATTGTCTTGAAGGTGAATCAAGCCTTGATAAATCACATGTCGTGTCAGTTACACAGATCGATGTTCAAAGTGTGTATTCATATTATAACTCGAACAATGGCCTTAGGTTTTTTGATGTTAAAGGCAAGAAGAGCGTGCATAGAACTTTCATACAAGTCAGAATCACATAGTGGAAGGCCTCAAATTATATGTTTCTGTGTATACCCAAATGCTCACATACAATGGAAGTGTGAGATATGAAAAGATAATTCAAAACGGGGCCATCGAATTGCTTATAACATTGAAAGTTGAGGATCCTACATTGTTTCATGAGGGAAGAGATAATGCATGCAATGCCAGGGTAGATATTTGGTGTCATAAGGCTGATCCAATCTTTACAGACGAATGTAAGACAAGAACTACCCACAAACCTAGAGGGAAAATGATGTGTGGTAGTGAGAGTGGAACGTGATTGGTCATTGAGCATGAATAAAAAGGCATAACCTACTGACTATTAAGTATGGATTTCCTCCTCTGCTATTGATTTTTACTCCCGTCTCAGAGTGACTGCTTGTAACTGCGTTGAATAAAGTATTATCTAGTGTTAATCTGGCTCTCTGTTCTGTGTTGTGAATCCTAGATCTGGTATCTGTATTGTGTACCATTCATGTGTCAAATGTAGCTTAGCGTAGTAGTACCGCGAAGAGAGAAAAATATTTTAGAACCATCCGTTATATCACTTTTATATTAATTGGCCGATTTATCATGTACTTAGCTTCGAACCTCACTTCTGGTGTGAGGGCTAGTGATACTACTCGGTCGCCCAGACCGAAGTAGGTGCAGTGGGTATGGAACCTGAGTCTTAGTAATTGAATTTCAAGTGACCTTATCATTAAGCTATCTGTTTTATGCGATAGGACTGCCAAGTAAACGGCACTTACGTCAAATTTACACTGTTACTTTATTTACTTATGCCTGTTACCTCTTGTGGAACGTAGGCCGCCGATCAGCATTGTCCAACCAACTATTTTCTGGGTTTTCCTTTCCAGTCGTTGCTAATTCCTGTTAATTCTTTTGATGTCTGGTTCAGATTTCCGGCTGAATGTGTTCTTTCTTCTTCTCGTTTTGCCTTGAGGATTTCGAGCTCGGTCTTAATTTGTGATACAGTTTGGTGATTTCCAAAATGTGTGTACCATCCACCTCCAAAGATTTTTCCTAATTTCCTCTTCAGCTGGGATATGTTTGTTCCGTACCACAGTAGCATGTTGTTGATGTCTGGCCGACGAATTTGGAGTATGTTGCGTAGAAAACTGTTTGTAAATAGTAGCATTGTTAGCTATTAAACGTAACAAAATCGGTTGTTACACTCTTATACTCTAACCTCTTTCTCCTTTCATTTATTTCCTCATGTTTCTGGGAGCCGATATGTGCCAAATTAAGCTTATAATAGTCAATCGAACACACGTGTTAGGTTCTATACGATTTAAGTCTGTTTTATGTATATGTAGTGTCATACATTCATCCCTAAGCGTCATTAATAAGTATTAGGTTACATCTATTATGCTAGTCGGTGTTGATATTATTATTTAATTAAACCTAATGTCATTATATAAATGCGATAGCTAGCCTACCACTCAGTGAACAATATTATTATGATAATTTAATTTTATTTCTTCAAATGATATTTTCTAGACTCTCTGCTCGTTGATTTAATATGTACACAATCAGATGAAGGTATCGATGATTTTTCACGATCTAGAACCTGTTATGGTAATGCAGATGAAGCTAGTCTATGGGCTCCTGCTTTGTGGATTAAAGTTGTGACTCGTGATTCATCTCGTCTTAATAATGCTTGGCGAGGTAATATGTGTTTGTTTTGCTAATTATTCTTTATTGTGAATTTTTTTTGCGGTAGCACGTGAGTGAGTAATTTTTGATGCATTTTTATCCATTCAATCTGAAAACTTAGACTACAGTTACAGAGTAATGCAATATAATAGGTAAGTGTTCCGGTAGTCGTAATTATTAGTAGTAGTAATGGGTCAGTTGATACTGTCAAGTTGTATCTCCTCATTTCCGTAGCTATTTAACTGGTCCTCCTGGTCTCCTACATTGTACGGACATTCCGTGTACCTATATTAATTGTTACTCTGGTTGTTAGAAAAGGGGTATCGTCCTCGTCGCTTCCTAAGAATTTCGGCCTTCATCATGAGGTGTCATAATTGTTAGGAATGAAGATCGTTGAAATCGGAGGGCAGAGTTTAATAGGTTCAAATATTTTATTGTGGTTAGCATTTGTTTAACAAGATTGTTTTGTATAGGATGGAGTTGTTGACCCCATGCTCAACCCTCCTCCTTTACTCGAGATTGGGACCGGCAGTAACTCTAGAAGAGCTACAGGCCCAGTTACTTTTCATACACAACTGCAAAACATGATTGATCATGGTAAAGCGAGCCCTTAATGTTGGTATATAATTACTGATGTTCGACTATTGCAGTCTCTTAATTTCTGTATGATGTCAGTATGAAGTGATTATTGGTGATGTTATGGAATAAACTTGAATTAGTGATTAATATAAATAGTAAACTGATTTTTACTGATCTGGATGGTTTAATTGTTAAGCTTTTATTCTGTTTTGAACGACAACATCATGAACACATACTTTATATTCTACTACATTCTATTTCATGTGATCAATCTAATAATTGTGTAGTTTTGTCAAGTAATATACATCAGGTGGTATGTTTATGCGTGCTTTCTTATTCGACCATTAAAGACATCAACCTAGTATCTCACACACAAAAGTTGTTACATTTCTCATAAAGACAAAACGAGGAAAGACGTAATCGAAAGCTACTAAGCGGTAGCTTAATGGTTAAGATGTTCAACTTCCTGCCACTGAATCTTTGGTCAGAACTCCGCTCCATCTATTTAAGTTTGAACAACCGGTTATTGTCATTCTTAGAGTGTATTAGTCATACCCACGTAGACGGTAAATGAGTTTTTTTAAAAATTAATAAAAGTATTTCCCTAGCTTAATTATGTATAAGGGGTCACCATTCACGGGAGTCAGCAATGATCACCGGACCAGTTGTTATGAATGCGCCGCTACCTCAGTGAGTGTAGATCTACAACTTCACCGACTGAACTGACTCTCTGGTCCTGAACCTTATATCTAGCTTCTCTATTACACTGATGGATAGTTCCACTACACATACAGGTGCTTTGTAAATGCATGATCATATGCATGTAATTTGTAACTAGCTAAAACAACACAGAGCTTGGGATTACTACATGTAGATTACGTATGAATTTCAGCTTTTCTAAATATACTTCAATTCACGCCATTGGACTATAGAATAAAATGTCTTTCCTTTAACTGTGGGTTCGAAATCAGTAGATGTCACTCATAATGTAGCGCATCCCTTTGCATGTGAGTTCCGGTGATTTTTTCGTCAGTCATACTTAAAATGAATTTATTCGACAATATAGTCTATTATTTACATATGTTCAAGTGGTTTTAATATAAACCTTTCTTGGTGTTTGTTATTTCTATCAATTAACTTTTGTTCATATGGATATAGGATTTGAGCTGGGTTTATTTTTATGATTAAGATGAAGAATTTACGGTTGGGGTGCATAGGTGCTAACCGTAAAACCTAATCTAAATCTTAAATCATAACCCTAAGTCACAACTCTTAGTCCTAAACGTTTGTTTTAACTGCATCCCCAAGTTTTATATCCTTTCCATAAATCTTAAATTTTGCATACTAGTTTAGACACTAGCTGTAAACTCTAGATCATAATCATAAATCCTGAACTGTAGTCCTTATTTCCAGTCCTAGCACTATCAATTATTTATCCATAATTTATGTTTGCTGGTCGGCTGAATAAAGTCAAGATTTTATCAGTCATTTCAAGAGTCATTCAAGCTCGTTTTTATGGTTTAGTTCTACCCATTTGTACTAAAATTTCTGATGTTCATATAGGTGAAGCTTCTTCAAAACATGTAGCTTGTTTGGGACGTCAAGCGGAAGAATTAGTCCTAGCATCTCACTGGTATCAACGAGGTCAACCGAAACATTGGATTCGTGTAATCGTACATTGGCTACCACATGGATCTTTCTGTGCTGAAATCAATGATATAGATTCAGATTTACGTGAATATCTTCAGAATATTGATGTGACATTACTTACTGGTTCTAATCCATGGATTAATAACTGTGATATTCCTGCTATCATTTTCAAAAGTCCTAACTATACTGTATCTCTTAGAAATTTAATCTTACCTGTATATAAATTCAAGAAATTTTTAAATAGTTTTACTGAATACGATAACACGTCTGGTGATTTCAAACAATTTAAATTTGAAGCTATAGAAAAGATACTGTCATTGTTGAATAGATTGTACAAAACAGTTAATCACGAAGAACAGAAGGCCAGTATTTTTACTGATGAAATGTTATTTGAAGTGGATGATTCATTGAATTCCTTTAACATTACTTATCCAATGGATGCAGTTTTACAGAAATGTGCATTATGGCCATTTCTAATAGATTCTTATGGTCGGTAAGTGTTTCTTCCTGAAGATGTTAAATTGGATGTTGAAATGATTTTAACGGAATAAACTTATTATATGATGAAACAAAATGGAGACGGTTCAACAAAGGAGAGTATCTTTATGTGACCAATACTAATATGCTGTATAGAAATAAGTTAAATAGTGGATGCATATTGAAGTGACTCCAAGCAGTAAATTATCCTCCAAATATCCTTGAATCGAACATTTACAGTCAGTCATACGCAATGTAGAACCTGATACGTGTACACCCATTTAAGTTGCCTTACCCCATTGTGATGAACGAAGATCTGGTGTGGAAAGTCAATTTTCAACTTTGTTTTCACTCTAATTGCTGTCTGCTCCTCTCGCTGTTTTCTTCAATTCAATCTTCTTTTGGAAGGCATTCCACTTCTGATCGCTACTATATACTACTTATGTCTGTCGGCGGAAGTAGCATGCACCACGCTATTAACACGGGATGATGAAACTGTCAGGGCAAATTTCAGATTAGTAGAGACAGTAATAGTATCAATGGTAATAGAAAAGATTTGTCATAGAACACGTGATTGGATTAATATAGGGAAATTTTCTGATTAAAAGATTTGAGATTTAAGCGAAGACAGGTTGAACGTGCTCGACACCGACTACATTTCCTTTCAGGCGACCCGGGTAATAGTAGCCCTTATACTTAAAGTGTAGCTCAGAGCTCTGAGTACACGAATCTGTACTTGATGAACAGTTGCATCACTTGAACGTATATTTATGATTGTTGACTTTTATTTATTTCACTGTTGGTTGTATATAGTGTATATTCCTGAAGCGAACATCAACTCTGAAATGTGGCAGGTACATCCAACTGACGAATTCCAAACAGAATGAAATGCGGATCCTGGATTCCAATACTAACCATATTTCTATTGTATTTGAATTTATTTTCGCTTTTTAGTTTAGATGAAGTAAATCGTATAAATTTGGATGTTTCAGCTTTGATTGCTTTTGTCTCTGAACTGTCACAATTCAATCCAACATATTCTCCTACTGATCAATTGATATCAATTGACAATAATGATAATCGTGCCGAAGCTGTATCTGATAAAATTCTAGAATGTTTACAATCAGTAGAAAGACATACACAATTACTGTTGAACCATCCTCCACTGAAACCAGAAAAATTCGAATGGCTAATAGAATCTGAGGCTGAAGTACCAGTACTTCTATCGATGGATAAATATCTTCGAGGTATTGTGTGACCAATTTATTATTGTGGCTAAATTCATTACCAGCTTTATTTCTGTGATCAGTCCGTGACGTAAACTATGAATTTCAACAATTTTCACAAGTCGTTTATGGTAATAACAATGTGATTTATCATTGAGTAATTTCGATAGATAATTGCCGAAGTCCTAGTGAGAAGCCTCGAGCAGTGAAGTTCGACCATATGCTGTTTAGTGTACTTACCCATCGACGGTATTGGAAGATAGTTGTGTATTATCATGATTTGATGCAAGGAAATAATGAAATGTTTACATTGTTAAGATGAATAATGTCTACAACTTGGTAGTCGCGGTATTTGAATACCCACTGGATATTTAATGCTAATTAAGTCTGGTTTTCATTCATTACTGAACGATATAAACAATTGAAAACTACTCATATCAGACGTAGGAAGATTAATGTATTTTTAACATTCAATAGATGTTTCAACTATTTCCACATGGTTTCTTCATCAATGAAGCATCAAGTTAATGTATTTTTTGGTTATCGAAGGTGCATGAATGCATGACCAACGAGACCGTAGGGATAAATAATAAAAAAACTATTGTATCTAAACTAGAACGTTAGAGTATAAAGAATAAAATACAATGGTCACTTTTAAACTACAGTAATTTTGAAGTAGAAAATGATATGACAGTACTCCATACACTAAACAAGTAAGTGTCCATTCGGATTTAGTAGGTGAGTACCGGGTTCGAGTCCCGGAGTGAATATCAACTCGGATGCAGGTATATCTCACTGACGAGTCCCGAATAAGATGACACGCACGTCCTAAATTCCACTGCTAACCACATCTATTTTATACCACCTTGTGTTATAATGGTATATCAAGGCGATTTGTACAAGATGCACATATACCAACCAAAACTGATCAAATTTCAGTCAGAAATGTCAACAAAAGGATAGTTCAAAAACCATTTAAAATTGAATTACACTCAATAAAAGCTTTTAATTCGTAGATTAGAGCAGGCACAAAACTAAATACTACTACTTTGCAAATTTTGAATTACATGAAATACTGTCCCTTCCTCCAAAAAATTGCTTTCTTTGTTTGTCATTGCATCTTTTTCTTTCTTTTTTCATATTAGTTCTAGATTGTTTATGACTGTGTTTGCTTGCATAAATACTTCATAAATAAAGAACTATGTAGATGAAATTAACAGTTGGTTATAAGTATGGTTTTTATGATTTTCTGTGATGCATTTACTTGTATTCATATAATTCAATCACATTACCTAACTGTTACAATTTCTCTTCTTACGACTCATCTGCTCTTATTGCTTAGTATTTCTTGGACACTGCTTCACTCAATGAAACCCAAAATCAAAACACGGTTGAACAGAAACGTTATTATATTACAAATAGCAAGGGTGGATTGAAGTAGGAATCACAATAAGAGAAACGCTGCTATATTTATAATTTTTACGTAAGAAGATTCTAGAATCTTCTCCAATTTATTCTCTAGCGCTGATTGGTTAAGAAATAGCCAGTCAACGTGCTCCAACACGATTCCGCCTAGAACATGATTTGATCTAATATATATCCACTAATATATCGATACTCATTTGAAAAAAAATATTTTATGTTACAAAGTTGGTTTTTTCTCTTTTCTTTTTTAAAGGCAAAGTACCCGTTGTATGCTTAAGTGCTGTTCATTCATTTTTAAATATTCTTGCCTTAATATCTGGACCAAGTGAATGGAAACGTGGAATTCGATTAATTAGTCACTTAGTTATATTACCTGATTTAAATTCATCAGGTGAAATAATTCCACCATTTAGTAAAACAAGAGAATCTAAGAGTTCGAATTATTTATTAACTCAAGTAAGTTATATATACGTGAAAAAAAGGTGACAAATAATATATTTTGCTAAATCCTAATGTATTTAAATCTTGTCTCCTGTTATATGACGATATACTTGTTCCATTTTCGTTTCGTATTGTGATCAAAACGACACTGTCAGTTGTTAGAAGTTAGACTCTTTCAAATCCTTTATTTTATTATGATTTTAACATCTTTGAGTAGTGGATTGATGATTTTCTTAAATTCAGTTGATTAGCGATTATCTAGACAATGAATTTAACAGCTGTGAGACACAAGTAACTTGATATATTCAACGTTTCTATTAATACTGATAGTCAACTATCATTAAATGGTCTTGAATCATTCTTTTAATCCTCTTTGAAAGGTTTGGTCAATTTGGAAAAATGGTTGTCTTCTTCATTTGATTATCTTCAAAAGCATTCCTCAAATGTTTTCGTTAATTCTCCTAAAATTTCACTATAAATTTTAGTACCTTAGTATGGGTCACTATCAGATCACTTATTGTATTAATGAATAGTTCGTATCTGAATATTGAAAAGCTGTCGGTTGTATGAAATAATGGGCAGATGTTGGTAACTATTCCATAGACTAATAACATATTATTTTCTGTTATTTTTAATTTCATATCATACACTTTTACAATATTTAATCAATATCGGCCTTAAGCACTCTCGGTTACATCATAATGAATTGTCTGATTGTAGGCGGTTCAGATAAATAATGAGGTTGTTTCAAGAGCAAATGGATGATGCATTGACCATTTGAAGTGAGAGATTTTCAGTTTGAGTTCAGGTGTGAGCAGCGACAGTAGGACGAGACATATGCCCCGAATCCTACTACTAGCGACAATCTCATTCTATATGACTTGTATCATAATGGCTTTATCTAGACAATCTGCACAGTGTGCATATATACCAACTAAGACAGATCAAATTTCAGTCTGTAATTTCAATAACAGGATAATTCAAACCTTTCCTAACAATTCTGTAAATGATTAAAATGCATGGTAGTAATTTTAAAGAAAAAGATTTTAAGAAAGTTCAGAATAAAATTGGTTACAATGTAAACCTTTTTCTTTAAATAAACGTATTAATATTTTTAGACTGATTGGTGGTATACATGATTAAAACTGAATGAATTTTAGACCATACTCATCATGTAAAATTTGATTTACAAATTCATTTTCATCATAAACTGTTGTCCATCTAGTGGCAAACCATGACTGATTGATTGAAGTATTGAAACCTGTACTGTTTGTTGGTAAAGAACTGTATTATCCTGGATTTAAACTCCTTAGCAGTATGCACATAAGATTTTTACATGCAGTCGAAACCACCAGTTGTTCTTCTCTTGCAGCAAGTACATAACGCCTAAAATACATTGACTCGGAATCCAGTAGTTTTCTATGTTCCATTTTCGTTACAACTTTCTTTCATACTCTCCTTCCTTTATGATTGGTGTTTAAGAATTTACAACTTATCTCTCTGTCGACTTTATTCAACATCCAACCCACCGTATTGAACTGATAAGGTTTTTTATAATATTAAGTGCTTATTACTACTATGTTAGATCGATTACTAAGTTATTAATTAGGCACGAATTCGTATGCTTAACCTTTAGCCACGCTCTAATTGGGAAGATTAGTGATAACACCCGTATGGTAGAATTGTCAAGTGAATAATTCTAAGGCTAGAGATATATGAATTTTAAATAAAAGTAGAAAGTTGATTGGAGACACTATCGTTCTTCATAGACTGAAATGGTTCGAAAATGCGTTACAAGTGCCTGACTTTCACATAACTCCGATTTGAAATGTTTGTTTACATAGCATTAAGTTAGGACACTCTAAATATGGGAGGGAAAAGACTAAGATATGGGGTCATTCCATAAAGTCTTTGCCCTGTATGTATGATTGAAAACATTAGGTAATATGGTCCAAAACTGGTCTAGCTGAAGCAATTACATTCATTCTCTACATTCTATATTTTGAGCTTACTATCATTCCATACTTTTCATCACAACTAACTTTATTTCTACTCGTTTGCTTCAAATCATTTTAATTTTTTCTCACTATGCTGGTGTGAAATGACAGATTCTATGTCAATGTTGACCGACGCGGTTCATGTATAAATAATAAAGGTGGAACTTATTTAATAGATTCATACTAAATAGAATTGAACTGTAATCCAATTAATTAATATAAAAACTGTTCAAAGCAAAGGTGGATAGGGGTTAGCAATGGAACCTAGGTCACTTTTTCTATTTGAAACTCGCCATCTAGGTTTGACCGTATACTAGTGTTGATGCTCCCAGCGGCTTAGAACCCAGTACCTTTTAATTGAAATACTCTACGTGTTATCCACCCAGCTACTGAGTTCATTTAGTCACTGACTTGTGATGAGTTATAATTCGAAGTTTTAAAAACAAAACTGTCACTTACTAGTCTGTTATATCTGTGCCTATTCTTTAACTTTCTGTCCTCTGTTTTACCTTTTTTTGATAATTAAAAGTTGTTCTTGCTTTTCGATCACAGCGAATAATTCTTCCAGTATTCCACCTAATAATTTATTTTAATGGTTAACCGCGCATGATCTTAAAATAAATTTCTGTGTAATAATCCTAATAACACTGTGTCTTGACCTAATTTCCTCTAGAAAAGAGGGTTTTAAACCTATGGATCAGTATTTGAATATCACATAGTCGAATCATTGTATCTGGGATATTTCCTACACTAAGCTAGTCTTTTTTAGTTCTGGTACTGTTTGGTAGCTTTCAAATTCACCTTTCATCTATCATCTGCTTCGTTTTCGTAGTGAACTTGGACATGAGTGAGTTACTCAATTGTTCCATTACACACACATCAGGTGGTTGGAGTTAACTGACAAGAAACCTAGTTTTCGTGCTAGTTGACACTCATCTGCAGAATATACCTGTCATCTTCCAGGAGTTGACACTTCGTGTGGGACTTGAGCCTGCACCACCCAGCTTTGTGGTGCTCTATGTTATCACTGAGCTATCCGGATAGTGACTGACCTTCTATATGACCTAGATATTTAAAACTAGTTGATCACTGGGTGATTACTGAATACTGTCTTCTCTGTCTAATCCTCTAGTGTTAAGGATCGTATTCTATCGACCAAATTGTAATGTATCCACTAGTCTAAGTGACTTAAAATCGAATGCAACAAGTTAAAAGTTTTAGTGGTTATACTCCAATAGGATCAGATACTTTCTAAAAAAGACAACGAACTACTTAATCAATAGACTATCTGGTTCAATGATTATCCTAAACGAAAACTGATTTCACACTATTTCAATGAAAGATATGTATGTATGTATATGTATATCTTTCGAATATTCATTTTAGAGGTTATATTAGTAAACAAAAATACACTTTGTGATTTTTGTAGCGTATCATGGAATTCGGCAATGTATTAGAAGCGCTGACAATAACATCAAATGCTGGTTTCCTAAGATCTGTTCGTAAATCAGTAAGCTTTTTTGCGTTTATTTTTCCCTGGGGAAGATTGGGAAATCAACCTAGTTTATTCATGCACAATAAGATATTGATTAGATAGTAGATTCTCATTGATATAGTTATGACGTGATAATGGTTGAGCCAAATTTACAGGTTAGAGAACTGAGTACTATTTGAATACTAACGAATTCACGCGTATACAGCCACTGAAAAAGAAGTCCTACTCACTGCCTTCTCACGATGCGGTTTACGGATTTGAGAAGACGAAAAGCGAATATTTGGTGCTTTAATCGGGTTGGTGAACCCTCCGTGTCCACCTAGCGGGGTTGGAAGGCCCTGATTCCAAACCAATGGAGCACATGGGCTCTAAGATTCTGAGGGAACAAATGGCATGTGAACCAGTTGTTGGTCACCGGCTACCATGGGATTTCATCTCCTAACATTGCTCCACTGCCTTATGGATTATACCTCTAGGTCATAGGCTCGTTGAATGGCCTCCTAAGAAAACCACCCGCTTCGGTCTGGGCACCCGGGCAGTATTCCAGCCCACACAAGAATCAAGTGACGAAGTATGGCGCATATATATTTGGTGCCTCCCTGTGCTAATGTTTATGTGTTTGAATAATTATATCTGATACTAACAAAGTTACACTATACGCGATCAATAAAATCATAACTGTTTATTGTCCAAGCGTTGAGAAATATTCACCTTGGTTTAAAACTACCTTCGCATCACTAGTAGTGGCAAATTTATTAAATAGGTATTAATAGTACTTCATTCTCCGATATACAATGCAGTTTCGGTCAATCGCGGTGAAATTTTTGATGCTGAACTAAAGAATCCTATATCAAGCAAACCTACCAGCTGTGTTGATATATGAGATTATCAGTTTGAATCCAGTTTATACAATCGGACAGTTAAAAACAGTAAAATGTGAATACATCTGAATCACTATAATCGATTTTAAACAGTATTATGTAAGAATACTGACTCCTTACTTTTCATCGACTCGTATTGGTAGCTCAGATTTCTACGCAAAACTCAAGATGATAATAACCACGTGTTCAAAAATGGAATGAAAAATACACGCTACTGTGAAATCCCAAAGTAGAACTTGAGTCGCTTCGTAATTTCGTCGAGTTTCAACGATTTCCACAGCCCACATATTGTTAGTAATTCATGATATGATGGGCTTGTTATCGTCTGATCATGCCGAATCATTTTCTCAGTTTATTATCACAGCGATTCACGGAATATATTATGATTGATTGTGTTCCAGCATGTGTGGTGTTTGCCTGAATAATCTAATTGATTAATCTGTTTCTTGCAATTCACCTAAGAATTCAATGTTTATTTAGGGATCGCTTGGCAATAACCTTCCATCACAAATATGTTTGAATATACAACTACAAATATCTCATTAGATTCATCTTGTTACAATTCGATATAATGAGTTATCTGTTGTCTATTATTTTTTATTCTTTAAACAAGTGGTTACTTTGCTTGGGCAGAAATTATACTTTTCAAAATAATGAAAATAAACAACTTCCTATCCATAATCTGATCTTAAAAATCTGACTGTTGAATATAAGATATATTGATAATATGAACAGAAATCAAACTGGCTTTATACCTATCGCTCTTAATCAAGTTCATAATTCCCTTGAAATTAAGGTAAATGATTGCGTACCAAACAGGCACCGAAGCAAAGGTTAAATATCTTGGATCTCAGTGAAAATGATGAATACTTAGCGTACGGTGTGTAAACTTTTCTCCAGCAAATAAGGTAAATCTAAGATTAGTTAACTGATTTGCAAGTAGTCTAATGACTTTTCCAAATCGAAATTCTCTGGAACAGATAATCAGTATCATTTGGTCTTGTGTTTCGACTCTTGGTCTACTAATTTCAACATAGTTGACATCCACTTGTTTGGTGTTTGTTAGCTAACCTAGGTATAGGGATTTATTTACTTGGCCTCGAACAATACTTGATGCTTAGGAGATGTTAATGTCACACGACTGCCTGAACTAGAGTAGTAGGTGGGGGTTGAAACCCTCGGCTGAAAGTTCGTCTCTTTTACCACTGAACCACCACTCTACTGATAGGTTTCAATGAGATAAGTGAGTCGTGCCTTTCCCAAAAGCTATAGATCGATCGTAATAACAGCTTTCAGTGAATTTGTTACATGTTCTTCAGTTTACACCATAGCAATTTAAAAAAATGTTTTTTGCACGAATATTTTCTTCATCAAGTTACTTATTTGTGTACTTTTCTTCTTAACTTTTATTTTGCCCTCCCCCTTGAAAAATTAAATGAAAATAGAACCTTAGATATTCGGCATTGTTGCTGCCTGCTCGTGCTCTAACAGAAAACACTCCACGTAATGTTGGATCATCTTCATGAAGTGAATTAATTTGACCAGAAAAATTTCCAATAGATTTTCTCTAATTTCTGTTCGTGTTATCTAAAAAGAAGTCTATTTTCATTATGTCAATCAATATACTTTTTTCAAGAATAACTTCTGTGTATTCTTTATTTATTTACATTTGGCAGTGAGTAACATGCTCTTTTTAGAAAGAATGTTTTACGGTCAGTAATTGGCATTTATTAGGGCTTTTGTTCAAATAACAAAAGTAACTAACTCCATCAAAAGTCCTTCTGATGCTTGTTATTACCACTGTCATAGTCTTTTTATCTAGAAATCTATTATTCGCCATTTCTCATACTCGTCATATAAACACATTTCTTTTGTATATTTTAAACTTTGGTTTTGCATAACGCAACCTCTCTTCTAACTCCTGAAACTGTGTATTCCTATTTCTATCTGTTTAATAGACTCGTTTATTTTAACGACAAATACAGTTTAACAGCTACTGAGTAAAATAATATTGTCAAACAGGAGATCTTTGAGAACTAATTAGCTGAATATGTGAAAGGGGTTAGGTGGATCTATTCATTTCGATTCTGGAGTTACTCAACGTTCTATCATAACAGACGGGAATAAGTACTTCTCACTGCTTACAGAATTAGTTACGGCAGAAGTAATATTATCAGCTTGCATATGTGAAGTATGCTAATGAAACTCACTATCTATCATAACTCGAATCCTACGGTGGTTCAGCTAAGATCTAGGTACCTGGTCGGATTTATGTGGAAATCGCATAATATCTTTAACAGTTACAGTAACATTTGATATACAAATGACCATTGATAAAGAGTCGAACACGATAACTACAACAAGTTACATAAAATTCATGTTATAAAGTCGGAAATGTTCTAGAAGACTTGTGTGAAACAAAATCACATCCTCAACATAGTGAAGTAGGTGTAAAGATTCGTTTACCGTCTTTGGACCGTTGAGTCCTATGCTTACTGGTTGTATGGTGTAGACGAAAAGTGACTGGTAGTTTATTCGAAAGTGGGTAGGTAGACTAGCCAAGCATGAGTGTGGTCAGGATTTGCTTGATGTGAATGACAATAATCGGGAAATAGATAATGCGCATAAAGACTGCTACTAAGTTGTATTCGACATCGTCGCAGTTATTGACTTTTGGGTACGTAATTGGTAGTGTGTAAGTTGTTGAAAGTCGACCACGTCAGGTATTCCGAGACAGTCCTCAGTTAGATCTGAAGACCAACGTCCTGAGTGAAACACTGTAATCTCCCTGAATCTCAAAAAACTAAGTGAGCTTGCGAGACATGACACATCTGGATGCTATGGGGTCTGCAAAACAGTTGGTGATCACTTCGAAAACCTAATACAACATGGCACTCAAGCGATCGAATTGAGAGAATCACGCTAGTGTTGCTTCAATACAAACAGTAGCAAGCGACTTGTTGGGAAGAACGAACCGCTCTCCTTCGGAACTAACGCTCAGTAATCCAAGGTTGTAATATGACTAACACGCTGGGGTCCGACCATATACTCCTGACTGAGACCACTCATTCTGAGTAATCAGGATAAAATCACGAAATGGTTTCACAATAGACTTGTCACAGCCATCATAATTCTGGGGATGTCTGGACGTGTGAGGATTATTACGAGAGAGAATAAAGAGATAATATTATGAAAAAGCATAATTTCTAACAAATGATACGCTCATAGTGGGGGATGTCCATGTCTAGTCCCCCCCCAGTGGAGAGCAGTAATCATGACACAGTCATATTTTACGCGGGACTAAACTAAGTAACTGAGAGCCATGCCAACGTTCCCTAACTTATCTACAAAGAGAAGGCTTTTCAGAAGGATTCTGACTGTAGCTCTCAGTTCGCATCAAGAGATAGATACAGCGCCATAGTTCAAATCAGTAATGGATAATCTCAAAATTCACAATTGCTCCAAAAATTATAAAACGTGGCTTCGCAGATGATCAAGCTCATGTAACTGAGTATGGCAACCATTCAAAAAGTACTCACTGTATCGTATTTAAGTACACAAAGTTGTTGTGCTTTCTCTGTAAAAAAGAACAAAAATCTATCGAACGTAACGTAGAAACATGTACCTAGGCGTGTTTTGGGCTAAACGGTGGATCTTACAGTGTGCTAAACGAACGCCCGTAGTTTTAGAAATAAAATGTCCGAGCTATGTCTAATGGTGGACCAATTAGGTCCCGATATAATTATTGTTACAAAAACTTGGTTCACAGTATATATAGAATGTTCTCCCGTCATTGCAGGCTATATCTGTATTGGAAGTGATAGAGTTTTAAGTCGCAAGGGGGGGCATAATGTTATACGTTAGGGATCACTTTCGTATACAATCAGTCATATCGGAGGCTCATGTTAGTGGTACATGTGAGCTAGCATGTTGTAAGATTAAATCTAGAAAGGGGTTAGTGACTATAGTGGGAATATACCGTAGTCCGTGTTGCCTAGCTGACGACATTATCGTAAGACACATCTGTTCTTGGAGTATGGCAGAATTTTGTCTCATCATTGAGGACTTCAACGCACCGCATACCAACTGGACAGAGCTTAAAGCTCGAGGTGGAGGTTTCGATAGCGACCTTTTATCAACCGTTATTCAGTATGCACTTGTACAATGTATCACAAAGCCCACACATATTGATTTGCAACATGATCCATCACTGCTGGACCTCGCCCTCACCCACCACTGTGAGGATGTTATTGATATTCGGCACCTTCCCCCACTAATTAACAGTGATCACGTTGTACTTCACTTTAAGTTTAGGACACATGGTATACAATTGTGTCTGCTCCACCCCGTCCCAATATCTGGCGAGCCAATATTCCGACAATCAGAAACTGTGCTATCTATACTGATTGGTTGGTCGACGCGGATGGATTGATCGAAGATGAATGGAATAAGTTTAAGGCTACATTCGAGTCCGTAACGTCGCCGTTTATTCCATGGTTAGCCCGTAAGCTATCACATTGTCCTCCATGGATTAATAAGGCAACCCGGAAGCTGTTAAAGCGTAGGAAACATTTCTGAGACATATTCTTGCTGACAGTTCATGCACCATTCAAGCGTGAGTACCGAAAATTCCGGAATATTTGTCAGAAAACCATAGCTAAATCCCGTACAACTTACGAACGACCGTTGGTACATGATAGCCGTACTCATCCGAAACGACTGTTATCGTATGTTAAACGGCGGATGAAACGTAGTGATGGTATTTCCCCGTTACTGTTACACGACACTTCAGATTTACTAGCTGAATCAGATCGGGCAAAAGCTGGGACTTTTTCAAACTATTTTAGCGAAATCTACTCTGCATTTATTGTAACAAATACTTGTCCCAATCACACGGAGATATCAGCCGTTGAATCTGTTCAAGTGACTAAGGAAACTGTCCTCCCGTTGATAACTAACCTCAAACCTTGTAAGATACCGGGCCCTGACGGGGTTACATCCCCGGCTGCTGTCATCTCTTGCGGTCATTATTTCAAAACCGCTCGCGACACTCCTCAATATGTTCGTTTCACTCGCTCAACTCCTTAGAGATTGGAAAGATGCTATAGTCAGTACTATATTTAAGGATCGTCAGAGACAGATAGTATCTAACTACCGGCCTATCAGTCTAATTAGCATAGTCGTTAAGTTACTGGAAAAGATAATTCGGGTTAGGTTGCTAAGCCACATAGATTTACACAATCTGTTAGCTTCTGAGCGACATGGGTTTCATAACGACCGTTCATGCTTGACTAACTTACTTATTGCGAGAGAGGAATCGACAGCAGCCGTAGATAACGGTCTGCCTGTCAACGTGATATTCACAGGTTTTAGCAAAGCATTTAACAAGTTTTCACACTTAGGTCTTATGCAGAAGCTCACGAGCTTCGGAATAATAGGTGCTGTACGGGAGTGGTTAGGAAACTTCTTATGTGACCGCAGACAGACAGTGAGGGTCAACGGAACGCTATCCGATTGGAAGACAGTCGAAAGTGGTGTACTCCAAGGTACCATCTTAGGCCCTCTGCCCTTCCTTCTCTACGTTAATGAGTTACCGATGTTGCTTAGGTCGTCGACATTATTGTTGGCGGATGATTTAAAAATATGGAGAACAATAAAAAGTGAGGCTGATCATCTGAATCTTCAAGCTAACCTAGACGAGTTAGTTAGATGGGCTCGAGGTTGGGGCTTAGAAATCAACTCTAGGAAGAGTGTGCTACTGCACATCGGTCACGGTAATAGCTACCATTATTCTATTGGTGGTAAATCACTTCCATGCGTTCAAGAGTATAAAGACTTAGGAGTAATAATAAGTCATGGCTCAAAACAACTACGCATTGCAACGCAGCCGCTGTCAAAGGTTTTCATGCGTTATGGTCACTTCGCCGAGCGTTCAAATCTTTTGGCGAGGAAATGTTTCGAATTTTATATCCCACCTACGTAAGACTACGGTAACCCTCGTGCTATTGATAGGAGAAACCAGAGAAGTAGTGAATAGGTCTTTATTTCGATCTTCGCGCAGTCACAGTGGAGCTTGGGATTATCTGTTCAGACAAACAAAGGCTCTCAACATTCAATATAAGATAATAGGGAATATAACGCTTATACAAAATAAGGAAGTCAGTGAATACTTGAACAATGCTGTTTTGGCATATGCTTGGTTGTTTGGGGTCAACTCTTAACTAACCAACCTAAGCTGTTACAAGACCACATTTAGAGTACTGTATTCAAACAGCTAGCCCATATTTGGTAAAAGATACCAAGCCACTTGAGCTTGTCCAGCCTGTGGGAACGAAATTAGTAAAGGGTCTTTCTAGACTCTCTTACGATGAGCCTTCAAAACGCCTAAACCTTTTCCCCTTGTCGTATCGTAGGACACGAGGTGACCCTATACTGGCGTTTCGTATCCTCAATTATGATTTGGGTGTTAATATGTCTTATCTTTTTTCTCCCTCCAGCACTAATAATCTCCGAGGTCAGAGCAAGA